AAACAAGAAATTCCAGAGACTTAAAATGACTTCAAAATAGGCCTGATGATAGTGATTTTGAGGAAAAATTAAATGAAGTGCTTCTTAAAAACAATTAAAATGTTATTCCATTAAATTACTTTAAATAAAACAAAAGCTATTTCTCTTAACAGGAGTAAATTTACAAATGTTATAAATTTTTTATTACTAGCATAAAAACAGCGAAAATAAACTTTTAAAGGATAGATAGGGAGAAGAAAATGGACTTCTTTGTAATGTTTTCAATGATCACCAACAGGAGTCAGAGCTAACTAATTTGCCATTAGGTACCTCTGACTCCTGAGGTCAATGTTCAAACTCTAGTGAAAAGCAGGATAGACAGATCCTCCTTTCTTAGAAACGTGGTACAGCACAATCTTCTTGCCATCACCCACCCCACAGTGTTGGTAGACAGTTAAGCTTAATAAATATTGATAAGCCACCAAGAGTACACAAATTTATACTCTTGAATTAGTGTTTTTTAACTTCTGCCCATTTCCCAATCTACTCCACAGCCAAGCAATCAAAGTTGAAATCAAATGTGCTTTATATGAATTCCTTTGTTCATCTTTTCGAAAAGCCACAGAAAGAATTCATTATCAAGATATTCTGAAATAGTAATTTCATATAAAAGGTTGCATACAAAATTGAATTCTAGAATAGTCATCATGAAAATTCCACATGTAAATTTGTCTTGATACAACTTTTTACTTTTTTTTTTTTTTAATGAACAGGTGCTTTTTAAAATTTTTTAGATTGATGCCTATAAAAGGGATTTTCATCCCCGTTTCATATTACTAGAAAATTGACAGGTCACCCATTTTCTTTTTAACATCTTTATAGGTTAACATGAATGACATTTGCAATTTTGTTAGACCATATTATCAAGGATTCAATTGTGTGTGTATATATATATATATATTTTTTTTTTTTTTTTTTTTTTTTTACAAAAACACCCTTTCACACAATATTTTACTAAAGTGAAAATATATTAAGAAATTACGATATCAGAACATCTAGATCTAAAAAACAATTTTAATTGCAATGTTTAAAGAAAGAAAAAAACCTATGAAAAGAAAGTTTTATTTCAAATTACTACATTTCAATTTGCACTAGTGTTTTCAAATGACAGGCTACATAAACTGTTTTTGATTGGCTAATAAGTTGAGCTGGAGCTTTGTTTCCAAGGTTGAAAGTAAAAAAAATGATTCAACTGTGCTTTTCAAAAGGATTATTTTCACAGCAGTAAAATTATTGTAAGTTTTTTTTTTTTAATGATATTATGGATTAGTAATTTAATCAGATCAGTATCTCCCACTGACTTATTCTCTAACCATCAGCAGGTTACATTACTAATGGAAATATCCTAATCAGTACCTTGAACAGAGATTGTTCTCATTGAATCAATAATCATTAATGTGACAATATAGTAAGATTAAGGGAAAAGATAAGAGAAAAAATATATCAGAAAGTAATATGTTGTAGAATTTTAAATATGGAAAAAAAAAAAAAAAAAAAAAAAAAATGCTCTCACATGCATTTCAAAAAAAAATTGATCAAAATAGAAAGGTTGTAAAAGGCCCAAAACTAAAAAAATGAATAAATTTTAAGACATTGTATTAGATTTGGAATATGATTACAAAGCTTTGGGAATAAGTCTTAATTTACTGAGATTGTTTAATAGCTTCATTGATAGCTCTTTTGTTGAATTAGAAAAGAAAAATAAATTGATCACCAATCTGGTAGAATATGTCATTTAGTCAAAATTTGATGAAATCTGGGCGTGATTAAAAAAAGAAGAAAAAAAAAAAAAAAAGTATGCCAAATATGTTAATTATGTATGCCACATCACAATAAGCAGTAAAATTCAAACAATTTTTAAGTTTTTCTAAGATTGTTCAATTTTCTTATGGCGAAATGGATTGAAAATTTAAAGGGTGAATCATGTTGAAGAATGGGACAAGATACAAATTAATTACTTTCAAAAGAACAATGAAAACAAAAATCAACGAGAAAAATTAAGCACGAGATAATATGTTTGAATATGTTTATTTAGCCTAAACATAAAATACCTAAACAGTTTAGGTATTTTATGAAGGTAAGCGAAGAAGAGAATTATTCCTATTCGTGGAGTAGTAAACTAACTATATGAGGGGGGGGTGATAATATACTTGTCATAGGAAAGTTGTGAAATGTTGATTTAGCTGAAAAAGAGAGGGGTTAGAGATGAAGTTCGTTCATAGAACGAATCAATGCGTTTTCAGTTGAACTGTTTTGTTAGGTAGTGGGGGTTAGGAAGGTGTTGATTATCTTTCACCATTTGAATGATTCGCTGGTTGCGTGTATCAACAAGAAAAAGAAAAAAAAAAAAAGAATACATCAGTTAAAGAGGTTTTTCTCGTTGACAAGGACCATAAAAAAAAACCTCCTACATCGATCTAAACTCTAAAGTACTTGTGTAGCTAATATTCCACCCCCCCTTCTTTCCTTAATATTTAGGGTTAATGAATTGTCAAGACAGGTAACTGGTAACTGATCTACGGGTTGGGCTCAGTAGGTTGAGTAGAGCACATACACGTTCTAAGAAAAATTAGCAGCCAGTGATCAAATTCGAAACTTGTTACGTCCTAGACAGTCTCAAATCAAACTATATAACTATATGGTATAATTTTGACAATAAGCAAAAAAAATTGAAGGGGAGAGTAGACCCCACCTCCCAAAATATCAATATTGCCTAAACTACTAATTGTAAATCAATGTTGATTAAATTTTTAAAAAATACGTCGAAAGAATCTAATAATATTTTCGAAATAGGAAAATTCTTCTATATAAAAATAAAAAACTTGTGATTGAATGATTGAAATCCATGTAAAACATTTTTCTGATATTGTCTCTCCTAAACTAAACATCAACAGTTCTTTAGACATGGTGCGCCTCTGTTTAAGCGACATAATAAAAATGAAATAGTGAACATGTGCTCTCGTCAATGCAAAATACTGTATTACGAAGTTTAATTTATTTGATTGATTCATATTAATACTGGAGGGTGGGGGACGAAACAGGAAAATGAAAATACAGATTTGAAAAAAAAAAAAAAAAAAAAAAAAAAAAAAAAGAAAGAAAAGGAAAAGAAGATATAATAATCAGAAATGTAATTCAAATTGTAATGAACTATGAAGTAAAAAAGTAAAGAGAAAAGAGCATTTTTAAAATGCTGGTCATCAGGTGGGCATTCTTATTCTTTTTTTAAGTCAATGTAAAAAAAAAAAAACAATTCTAGTAACTTTAAAATAAAAGTAAAACTTAAGCTAAATTCTAGCAATTATTCATCACTGAAGTTTAAAGAAAAAAAAATTTTTTTTTCTTCTACCAACGTGTCTGAAAATACTGTGAATTCTTAAACAGTCTAGAGACTAGAGATTCAAATTCATTAAAAAAAAAAAAAAACACCAAAATTACATTTTTTTTAATTCAAGAAGAAAAACCTCATGTACCCCTAAGTGTTTATTTTATTTTATCTAGGATGACACATGGATATTTGAGTATAGACTATAAAATATCGTTAAAAAATCTAAGGTTATCAATTCATTTTTTTCCGTTTTGTTTTGCGTTGTTATATCAGAGATCAAAATTATCTTTAGTTTTTAACACTTTTTAAAAATACTGAAATTCAACTACCTGCATCTCTGTCTATAAATAATTATACATTATCATCATTAACTGGCTGTGTTCCCACTTTCAAATGGAAAAAACAAGAAAGACACCCTACCGCAGACAGACGTGACTGATAATGATGGTAATATGTACGTGTGTGGACGAAGCAGTGTTGTTATGTCTGAGAGTTCAAGACATCATCATATACAACACGAGAAAGAGAATATTCAACAAAATAGCATGTACAAATTAACATTAAGCAGATCAAACATTATTTACAACATAAGAGCGAAAAAATAGAAAACATTTTTATTTTTCGTTCTTTAATTAAAATTCAAAGACAGTCCTCCCTTGTTTCAGTTTTAAAATCGACAATAGCTCCTAAATGGAATGGAATGGAATTATCGTTATAATTACAATATTTTTTATACAATTGTGTAAATTATAAAATTAAATAAAAATAAAAAAAAATAATTAAGGATTTGTTTAAAGCTGGAAAACAGAAAGGGATCGATAAAAAAAATAAAATATAAAAAAAATGCTTGTTTTGACGTCTTTGTGATAAATCTTGAAAAGTAGGTAATAAATAAATAATCTGGGGTTTATTGAATATTTAAAGACGTAATTGTTGTTGTTTTGTTTTTTAAATAAAAAAAAAAGACAATTTTTAATAAATTGATTTAAAAAAATACAAGTTCTGACTAATCCTATTGTACAAAAAGAAAATAATATACAATAATAAAAACATGCTTGTAAAATTAAAGCTATTAATTTTGAAATTAATTTCAAACGTTTCATATTTATTTAAAAACAAAAAAGCCCTTGACAGCATCATTTTTAATTTTAAGTTGTCAAAAAAAAAAAAAAAAAAAAAGATCGGAGAAAATCTCTAACTATTCAACGACAATTTTTTAAAACAAACAATACGAGAGAACTATCATTATATTTTAAATTAGGTGACCATATTACTGTAATTTGGTCAGTTGTAAAGCTGACATTTTGCAAATACCCGTCAGATTATACAAACATTATTATCAACACAATCTGAAACAGTCTTTTAAGATGCTGCCGAAAGTTTGAAGATTCGGAATCAAATCCGAAATTAATTAAAAGACAAATATCACAATCACACCATAGATAAGGAATCGGTAATGTGTCTACACTCTAGCTAAAACTCACGATTATTCGCTATTTTTATAAAAATAAATTACGATCGCGACAAATTCTTTAGTGAAGGTACCACCAAATTTACGGAGAAAACAGAGATCACAACACACAAGAAGAGAGAAAAAAAAACGCGGGACCATTTTTTTTACACACATTCTTACCTGCAACGGCTTTTTTCTTTCTTCTCTCCAATGTAGTTATTTTAACGGATTCAAACTAGAGCAAAATAAAAAGAGAAGAAGAAGAGAGAGAAGCACACAAGGGTCGGCTCCACTACTTCTTCTAATTGCGACTGCAGGCAACGAACATACAAGAGACGGCCAAGTCGATTTGCCTTTAACACGACGACAACAGCGACGCCATGATTCTTAGTGAAGAAAGCCAAATCTCGCAAAACCTCATGCCACCGGATCGCGTTCGATTATTCAAACCCGTCAACCGGAATGCTATTTTTACGCAACAGGATTCCTTTGCTCGATCCTCCTCCTACACAGTTAAACTGTACTCCTACTCTTATTCTTTCAAACCCACTCCTCCTCTTACTTCCTTAAACCCTATTCTGTAGTATACTATTACTACAACTGTCACTGTTACTACTACTGCTACTTGATGTTCATTTCTCTTCCCTTCCTTCGGTTGTTTTCTCACCTCCTACTCATTTACAATAACGAAGGAGGAGTAATTCAATCTCCTCCTACCCCAACTACTGCTACCGGCATGTTCATCTTCTTATCTACCATTTGCTCACACCTCTTCCTCCTTTAAAAGCAGTCAGAAAAATCTCTTCCTTCCTCTTTAATAAAGTTTTATTTTATTTTTTCGTTCGAATCTTCTTTTTCTACTATATCCTCACCCGCCTCTTATTTATTCCTTAAATGGGTTCCTTTCGCTTTCTCTCTCCTCCTGCTTCTTCCACTCCTCCTATCACATCTTGGGTTTTTTAACTCATTGATTTTACTTATACTTGCTCTTTTTGCCTTGGATAAGAATTTTCCCAAGAAAGAAAGCGAATCAACTTATTTTTCAGACATGATTATTAATTATAGTATGAATTTTACGTAATTTTAGTGAAGCAGCAACTTCTTTTTCTTCTTTAATTTAGGACTCATAATTCAACTAAATCACATGAAGCAAAAACACGTGTAACTGACAGGGAAAATATATGGATAAATTAGCTAACACAAGAATAAAAAATGCATTGGCAAATATTGTTGAAGCATATGAAGAAAATTTTCATATTTAATTTACGAATACTTTTTTGTAGCTTTAAATTTTAAAATCTTTTTTGCGTAAATCTTTTTCAATTAAGACTTCAAAATCAGTCATTCATTAAAAAAAATACTCCACCCACACTTTTTCCTTTACAGAAATTATTTTAAATATCTGTACTAGTAAATAAATTTAACAATAGCATTATTTTTTAAGTGTAAATTTAATTTCTAAATCATTTTTAATTTATCTCATATGGTCGTAGTTGCTAGTTTCTAGAGATTCTTTTTTTCTTTCTTTCTTTTCTGTGTCATAAAAAAGTGAATTTTTTATCACATAAAAACGAAAGTGAAAAACAAGCAGACGAATAAATTATTCTATTATCGTTAGAGATGCAAACAAATCCGATCTTTAGCCATTTCTTTGGCTGACCTACAATTGATTTCAGATATTATGTCTGCCAACCCTAAAAGAGACCTTAGTGCCCTAAAACTCCTCCCTATCATAATTCTGCTTCATGGAATTTTAGCAGTTTCAGCTAAAAATAAATAAATTAATAAAATGAATGTTTATTAAAGGTGTATGTAATATCGCAAATAAAAATAATAGGTTACAAACAAATCATATGATAATTTTAAATTATTTCCGAAAATCTTAATTATCAATTTTTATTTTCAAATTTAAGAATGTTATTTCTGTATCATTCATAGCCAAAATTAACTCTGTACTAATTGTTTGCATATTTTCTAGATGAAAAATTACGTTTTTTTAAATTTTTGTTAATAATGCAATATTAAATTTTAGCATTTAAGAATTCAGAATATATTATAATTTTACAATTTAAATTATTAATAAAATAATTAATTACATTATTTATATTTTAGAATATAAATTTTATAATTTATATAAATTTTAATTATATAATTTAATTTTATATAATTTAAATTTAAAAAAAATGATCAATTTAAACGTGAGAAATGATAAATAAATAGTAATTTCTTTGATGGGAATGCAGATTTTTTTTTCTTGTTTTAAAATTTTCTTTTCATTTTTTACTCCATTTTTAAATTGAGGGGTGATGGAATAAAACGTTGCAGGGACATCTTAAGGTCAAATTTTGAAACTAACTACAGGTGTGTGCTGTTCTGTGTAATTGTAAATCGAATTTCTGTTAACAAAGAAGACACTCTGAGAAGTAAAGGAGGAGAAAAACTTTCTTTTTAAGTGTATTATCGTTCATTTATTTATAGAGAAAGAATTGTTAGGATTTTATTAGCAAACATTTAAGCTGCGACATCAAAAAACCTCGCCTAATCTCGTGGGGCATTTATTCCCGCCATTACATATAGGGAGTACTATCCACGTGTTGGGACACGAACGAATTGACCAAAAAAGTTAAAACTGAAAAATAAATAGATTCTACATTGAAAAGGGAAAAAGCTTACACAGTTTTTAACTCAACACAACATAGTACAAAAATACAGTTAAAATTTAAAAAAATGTTCTAATGACTTTTTAGTTTTTTTTATTCTTAAAGATGATTGCTTTTTGAATGTACTACACACAGATAATCTATACTTCTACTACAACGTTGTGTACGTGCGTGCGTCATAGTCATTGAGAAAGAGAGAGCAGTGTCAGGAATTTCCTTGTTCGCTTAGTGTAAGGGCAAATAGAGGCGGGGTTATTAGTTGTTAGTGTTTGCATGTTGAAGTTACGGTCAGGGGTTGTAGCAGTGATGCGGTGAGAGCTGTGTGGCGCGCGGGAAAAAAGTGAGCTTCAAGTTCCACCAATCCAAATTCACTTATTTCATCGCGAACACATTCTTGTTTTAAAAGGTATTTACAATTTTTTTTTTCACATTATCGAAATCATCCCGATGATGAATATAAAATAAAAACAATAAGACGCCTTTCATGATTTTAAGAGTGTTTTTTTAAATGTTTATTTATTGTTTTGTTTTTCAAATAATGATTGAAAAATGTTAACCCTTTTAGTTTTCTTGATGAATAAATAACTAAATAGTTCAAAACGTGTTTAATTGAACCACGAAAAGCACTTGTCAAAGTCGTAATTTTTTTTGTATCATTTCACCGCAAGCAAGGCAATAGATCCACTAAGACGCAAAAAGGGGTTATTGAGTGAAAGAATAAGAAAAAAAAGAAAACAATATTATTAAGGAGAGAACAATAAAAAAACAAAAAAACAAAAAAGAAACAAAAAACAGGAATTCAGGGAACAAAAGATAACGATTGACATTGCATTTAAATTTTTGAAGATTAAAGTTGACTGGGATGCAAGAAGTCGGAAGAAAATCCCCCAAGCAAGTGCGAGAGAAGAAACCGCTAGCATGGAACTTATAGGTTACATTTAGCCATTTCAACTGTAAAATGATGAGACATAACTGCCAGTTTAGTAATGCGCTTACTACATTCGTAAAACCGAGGTACCAAAGAGTAAAGTTCATAAGAAGAATTACCATGAAAATTTAAAAAAAGATAAAAACTAAAACGTCATGATTTATAAATTATAAAGATAAAAAAATCATAGTACTGTAATTTCCAAATAAATTCGCAATCTAGAAAATCAGAATGGTTACACGAAAAAAAAAAGAACAAAAACAAACAGACAAAGCAAATAGGTAATTAAATGGAAAGAAAGACTAAGTGTGACATAAAATTGGTTTTATGTAAGCAAACTACAACTCCGGAATTAAGCAATCAAACACGTGTTTGACTGAAAGTAACAAGCATCAGCTAATTAGAATTATAGAAATTGCGTAGAGGAGTTCCTCCTTTTCTGACAAATCGGCAAGGATTGGTGATTATCAAATAACTATCGTAATTATCAATTGCAAAAGAAAATTCTTTAAATTATAATCTTCCATCTTATGTTGGATTGGATTTTGTCAGAATTAAAGTCCATTTTTTTGTAGAAAACAATAAATGTCTGCATAAGTTCTACTGTCAAAAAATTGAAGTAATTTTGATATGCATTAATTTTGAGTAATCTAGGATGTTTACCTACACAATTCAATTATAGCATGTAAGAAATAATTTATTATTTCTAAAATTATTAAAAGTAAAAATATATATATACCGGGTGTAACAGCAGAATTGTCCAAATCGTGTAACAGCATGGGATAATTGCGCATCCCACAGAATGTTTAATATTTATAAATAAATAAATAAATAAATAAATAAACTAATAATTGTTTCTTTTTCCAGGTTTTCAGATAAGAGTTTTTTTTTTAGCTATCTTGACACCATCTGTCGTAAGAATCACTGAAAAATCATTTGAGTTATTCAGCTAGGAAGTGAACAAGTTAAAATCGTTTTGTGTCGGCCCCACTATGTCTTCCCAACTGAGCAATGGTGAGAGGAAAAAGATCATTCAGGCCTTCAACAATGGTACCAACATTTATACTCTGGCTTCCATCTTCAAAGTCCACTCAAGAACCATCAAGAGAATGGTGAATAAGTTTAAAAAAGAGGGAACAGTAGAGAGGAAAACTGGATCAGGGGGTCACAACAGCAAAAATTATCATCATTTCAACTTAGATCTAAATACATTTTTACTGTTCAAAGTAGTGTCAAATAGAGTGATGAAAACTTCGGAGAATTCCAGTAAGATATCTTTAATCATTTCTAAGATACAGCGGTTCAAACTTAATTTAACAATTGGGCAATTTTGCTGTTACACGATTTGGACAATTTTGCTGTTACATCCCGTATAATCAAAGAAAATTAACGTGGAATGAAAGAAATAAAAAATGTATTAACAGCCTGATCTATCTACTTACTAATGAGATATTCTGTTGTTATGTATATTCGCTTATTGGCGCCGAATATTGACACCATAACAACAGAATATCTCATTACAAATAAGGAGGGATCAAGCTGCGTAACCAATAAAAAAATAAAATAGCACTGTTTTATATATGCGCGCATGTGCACGCTCGTGAAACACTTTCATGGAATGCACAGTTAATACACTCTTATCTACTCACACTCAGTGATAAAACGTGGGGTGCCCACACGCGTAGATGTGTACTAAGAGCGAAAATGACCCGGTTTCCAGTGACCACTGTCATGCAGGTGACGGAGCAATCTCCCCTCTCGTTTAGAATAAATGAATAGGATCAGACTTCCCAAATTATTTTGCCGACCATGAGTTACCAGAAAACAGAAACTAAGAGGAACAGGTACTACTCTCTGATCCTAGACAGATGTGTCGGAGAGCGACACTACGCAGAGCTCGCAGATGCTTTGAAAAAAGCAGAAATGTCAATAATAGACAATCACACCATTTTTACTTTTTATTGTGCTTCTACTTCTATATGACGTATTCATTCAAACCGTGGGTGAATATGGTTCTCCACAATTTCTTGTTTTTTGTAGCCCTTAGCAATGTTTATGTTTTTTTCTTCTCCTAATCCCTTTTCTGTCAACCATTTACACAATCTCTCTCGGTAGGTTATTTGCTTGCTGCTTTCCTCTGCCCCTCTTGCTTTCATCATGTCATGTGAGTGTCAAATTTTCCAAGGCCTCTTTTCTCATTGTGTTCCCTAGACATTTCAAATGTCTCTTACTAATTTTATATATAAGTGTCCTTTTTTTTTCCATTTTCTTTAAGACATCGTTGTTGCTTGCATGTTCAGTTCATAGTATTCTTAGCATCCTTCTGTAGAACCGCATTTCTGTTGCCGAAAGTCTCTTCTTCATCTCTGAGGAGAGTGTTTGGGGGGGATATTAAATAATATCCAAGTATTCCTTTTTCTGTTTTTAATGAAATTTTATTGTTTCTTAATCCTTTGCTTAATGTTTGGAAGGCATATTCGTTATTCCAATGTGCCTTCGGATTTCGGTGTCACATTTTCTGTTGTTTGTTAAAAAAACTTCCTATCATACTTGTTCTTCCCTTTGTTAGTTCACACGACCGTTACGTCCTGCCAATACTTCATAAATAATAGACTATTCGCAGTGTCTTTCTTTCTCTTTCCACGCGGTCACAATGGATTTCACATGTTAATATAGACTCCTTGACATTCATTAATCTTTCACTCATTGATTTTGATATCTTTTCTATTGTTTCGATTTTAATGTTATTTGCAAAAGTTTTTTTATTATTATTGAGGATCTTTTCCTGTTAATTCTCCCCAAATAATGTAAAAGTTACTTATCGCAAATATTAATTCACACAACAAATTCTAAATTTTAAATCAAAATTTGTTTAGCTTTTCATGAAGTTTTCTGGAGTCAATGCAAGAATACATCAACAAAAAGAGTGGTGTTCGCTTTTTACAGAAAGTCAATATTCTTCTTACGTCTCTGAAATGCTCTAAAGAACATTAGTTTGAGATTAATAGATCGACAGGATAGATGGCGTTGCCGTCTCAGTTTGGGGTGAATTAAAATTATGGGGTTAATTAAGAGAAAGTACCCTTTCTTACTTTCCAAATATCTTCTTTGTTTGAATACTATTTTCAATTCACATGTACATCTCTTTTAATGATGAGCCACAAGTTTTCTCTCAGATTAATATCTGGGGAATCTTGATGTCATTCTATCAATATGGCGTCTTTGAAATCTTTCTTTTTTTTTTCTTTTCTTTTGTGTCAAGGTGGGCAATAGAAAATTTGAAGGAACATTATCTTCTGTAAATATACTCTTTATTTTGTTAGTTGTAGTTAAGCAGCGTCGAGCCCGGTCAGTACTTAGCTGGGGGACCACTAGGAAACACCAGGTACAGTCAGAAACCTCATACAATCCGAAATATATCTTGGCTTTAAATAAACCACAAAGGGTTGATAAGTCGTAAAAAAAACCCCAATTAATCAGTCTTGGTTGTAACCTATAACATTCAAAAATGCAATCTCCAATAACGTCCAATTATTCTCAGCATTTATCTTGACACTATCATCAACTGTGATGGAATCCATAATTTTACTGCTTCTAATACTAGCCCAAATTATTACTCTATCTGACCCCTTTTTTCTTCTAAGCCGTGTTAGGTAACTGTTTCCATGAAGGACCCAACTTTCATCTCAGCACGGTCATCAGCACCATCCAATGTAGCTCTACATACATCACTAAAAGTTACTGTTGTGAAATCAGTTTTCTTTTCATGTATTCTTCTCCCAACGTAAATGTTTCTACAGCGTTTAGTTAGGTTGGTCGGTTTTACGATATGTCAACCTTTGATATCGAATTATATACAAGGCATCCAGTAAAGATCAAACTTACCAGACTATCTTCATTAACAATTACTCCATTCTGAGGTGCCTGTGTTTTCTTGTGATGTTTACTTAAAGGTGATAGTTTAGTTGTTTTCATAACCAGTGGTTTTTTTTATTAATATTTTGCGTCTTTGTTTACATTTACATCAGTTTCTTGAAATATTTTCTTCCTGGTCAATCC